GGTAACACTTTTCCGGGAGTGCATATGGGTGTTATTCGTCGCCAAACATTTCCTTCTCGATGCCGGCAAACATTTTGCGCAGGAATCTAACTCTCGTCTGATAACCCTCTACTTTTTCTTTCTCCTCCTCCACAATTTTCTTCGAGAATTCGGGCGTGGGACTCGGTCATTTCCTTGTGGAGGGCGAGGCCAGAAGCTTTGCTGTTGTCGTGTTCAGCAGTCTTGCAAGCGTGTTCCTCCTTTTTCTTGGACCACTCTAATTTTTCCGATCCGCCAACCTTTCCCAGCAGTGGCTCAATATCGACGAGTGCGGTTTTTATGGCAGCGGCGTTGTTGTGGGAGTCCTCGGGTCTCTCGCTTGGTCGGGACCGGTGTGTGTACGTCGAGCCGTGGCGCTTTCCGTAAATTTTGAAAAAATACGCGCCTTCGCGCCTTCTTCTGCCGATCAGAACCACCGGAAACCATAATTACGGTTCCGTGAAAAAAGTTACTATTCGGTGAAAAAAGTTACGTATTTTTTCGACCTGATAATAATACCCCTTAACAGGGCATATCCCGCGTTAAAACACCTCGCTGTTTTTTTTTTTCGGTACATGGAGTCCGTAGTGGCTAAAAAGCCAGATTTGAAATTCCATTCCCCCCCCCAAAAAAACATGAAAATCCTATCTATATGAAAACCACGAACTTTCAGGAAGGCCTCAAATCGATTTGTTGGTCCTCGAACAACCATTGTTGTTGTTGTTGTTGTTGTTGTTGTTGTTGTCTTCACATTAAAAACCATCCCGGTCTCTCTATCCAGTACCTCCTTCTGTCTCAATCTCTCCGTACTAATCCAGCACTTGACTAGGTCAATTTCCGTGGTCACAGGCTAACGTACCTAGAAAAGGTATACCAAAATAAAATGGACCCCAAGGGTTAGCAGAGCGATAAAATACAAGAAAACAAAAGAATTAGAAACAAATAAATAAACAAAATAGTGGAACGTGCGCACCACCAGCCTGGGGGGTAGCCTTCCGGAAGGACCCCAAGGGTCAGCAGTACGTGCTAGTAAAGAAACAAAACAAAATTGTGGGGATCATCATTTACATCACTGTTTGGAAAACGTTTTTTTTTTTTCCAAACGTTTTTTTTTTTTTGTAATATTATTGATGAAGTTATGGCCGGTCAAAGATATGACGTCACACACTTGATGGAACTGTATGTGCGCTTGATGTGAATGTATATCAACACGAAGCGTCTTTTCGTCGGCCCAAGTTCACCGATTCAAACTCACACCTAGACGCTTCGCCGTAGGGACCACTGCAGGACCTGGTGAGTCTTCGACTCGCAGCTTGCGTGACATTTGATCGAGTCAAAATCGTTGTTACCTCCGACGACCTACTGCGTCTGTAGAGTAAACCGGCCAATCAACGAACGCTTAAGCCACCCCTCGCGCCAACAGCTCGTTCTCGGGCATGAAGAGGAGTATG